GAGTGACAATTTTGATACAAAGATGCTTTCGAACAACACTAAGGCAGTCTGTCGATTTATTATTTTTTTAATCCTGAAGTCTGAAGATTGCATGAGAAATCTCATTAACAGAGCAGATAGGTGAAGATCACCATGCTACAGTATGTCTATACTGTGCAGCTACACAGACACATTGTGCCAGTTTACCACTCTGCCGTTTTCTTGCAGCAAAACTGAATTTTCTTTGTTAAATGGCAGATAACAGTTAGCAGGACGAGTTAAGAGATAGCATTTTTTTTTTTCCTTTTTGTCAGATGGCCTTGTTGGATTCTTGCCCGTCTTTGTACCTCACCCCCAGACTGATTTGTCTGTCTCTTACTCAAGACTCCCAGCTGGTGAAGGGAGGATGCAAAACGATGCCACCTCAGCCCTCAGGCCTTGTCTCCCTCCTGCTCCTGCACCCATAATCCCCCACCCCACCCACCCCCTGCCACCTCTAAGGTTAACACAGAAGGAGACAATCATAGACAGGTGGCTCCCCTTGCAACCCGGATGTACTTATCCTCTGATCCCTGGCAACCCTGACAGGAAGTGACTCAATGGCCAAGTGACCTTCCCTGGTGGCCTTTCCTGTCTTTTTGTTCCCTCACAGGAAGGAAGGATGTGGTCTGTTGTCCTCAGGCGCCGCTCATTCACTTTCCCCTCCTCAGCCCATCTAGAGAAACCAGATTATTGATTCCAGGCTCATCTTTCCTCATGCTCACTTAAAAAAACAATTTTTTGTCTCTGTCATTTCTCAACTACTTCTGCCATTTCTCAGCACTCACTTCAGCCTACATTGAAATCATTCTTCTTTCATCATCTTCTTCGTGCCCCTGTGAGATTTACATAAACATCATCGCCTTTGGCAAACGTCAAAGTCTCCAGTCCCAATCAATTAGACTCCAGGGGCTAACAAGATCCATTAATTTATAGCCTTAATGAGTTTATCTATGACACCGGCTTATTTATATACCATATTTACATTAAATGTGGCAGTCATTTCATGTGGTGAAGAAATCCCAAGGTCAGGCTCCTGGGTTTAGTCTGTTCTCAAATGATGCCCATGCACACTGTGAATTACAAAACACCATTTGGTGGTAGTTAAGAAGAGAAGGGGACTTCCAGACAGACAGAGGAAGAGACTTCTCTAACAACTTCAGACACTGTTATTGTTGTTCTTCTGGCTATAGTTAAAGAACAGGAAGGTCATGAAGAATCTTTGCTAACTACTCATTTATATTGGTGCTCATAAATGTGAACAATGACAAAAGCAATATGCAGAAGCAGAAAAAAACGTTACTTCCTGTGGGGCTGTAGTGTTTATCCGCTCAAAAGTCAGATCAGCAGTAAAAAGGCTAAAATAAAACACTGGTTCATTTGGAGTGTCTCAGTCAAGTTTGAGCAGAATAGATTCATTTCTGCAGTCTCTTATCTGTAAAATGCGGCTGAATTAGATGTACATGGCCTCATTCCTTGAATCTGCAAAATCAATAGGATTCTGGCATTAAGTGGATCCAGTTCTTTATTTTTAATGCCAAACACATAACACATCTCAAAAGACTTGTTACCAACTGCAGGTAGAGGGTGGGAAGTGAGTTATTGTAATCCTACAGGTGTTTTCTCTCCTTTGTAATGTGAGCCTGCAACTGTAATGCCACCTAGTGGAAAAGGATGTTCACTGTTCTCAGAGTGGTGTGGTTTAAATTACTGTATGTTCACAGGTTTAACAGAGGTGGCATTTTTCTGTCAAAGCTTAGGCAGCATATCTTTAATAAAGCACTGATTAAAACATATATCATGGAGCCCAGAAGGTGTTTAAACCAGAGGTCTGTCACCATCATTATATACCTTAAAGAAGACTATTAAGATTTTCTAGCTAAGCTCCTCCATCCAGTTCTTCCCATGAACATCATGACCAAACATTAAGCCAGTGAGTTCACAGCTGGAGATTATGTAGAAGATGGATATCAATATGTCTGGCCTTCAGGCCCTAAGCCAGTACTGATTAGAGCATCCCTACTGTTGCAAAGCATCAAGGACACTCATGATGAATATATCATTTATCAGAAGCCCACAAGAGACAAAAGACATTTTAAAAGTGTGTTTCAGTCAGCCACAGAGGGAGGGAGAGAAATATTAAGAACCAGAGGAAGAGAGGATACAAAGAAAGAACATGCCGTAAAAGCAAGAGAAGGCTTGTTTGGCCATGTTTTGCTAAATGGCCTCATTAGTGCTACTAACAAATTTAGGTTTATGCCCAAGCTCTACTCAAAGTAAGAGGGAACCAGTGAAGGGCTAGCTGCTGTGTTCAATGAATTTTCATCATTTTAAAAGAGAGAAGGAGAATTTAATGTGCAGAAAATTGAAAATGGAGACTGATGTCCCATAATTTAGAGCCACACAGCACATCCTGTTACTCATTCATGCGATAAACAGATGTTAGATAGAGTGCATTTGGAACTGTTTCAGCCATTGCAAGTTATTTTAGGTTTTCACACTCCAAATGTCAGGCTCACATTTGAAGATCAGTAAAATGCTTTCATCTGTTTTACTGCCTTCTATGTCTGCATGTATCTTTCAACCCTATCAGTTTATGTGGTCCTTCTTCTGTCACTGACTACTCAATTGTGTTCATCTTTCAGCGATCGTAGCTGATGCATGTGGCAACAAAGCTCTACTGTAGTCAGATAGCGTCTGTCCCTTCTAAAATCCTGCCATTATTACTACACATCAAAGTGTTAAAGGTTTGCATAATTGAGCTAACAAGTGTTTGGTACATAACCCGATCCTTTACTCCCTATGAGGACTGCGGTCACAGTGTGACCAAGGACAAATACCAGGAGAAAAAGAGACAGAGTGAGAAGACTCTGAGGCCCTGCACCAACTGGATTTGTGCTGTGGGGCTGGCAAGCGACACAGCACCCTGGGCCACTACCACGCTAATGAAAAAACAACAGTGTGCTAGTGCCGGTGTGGCGCTGGGACCATAGCACCATGCCCACTGCACAACTGCTCCAATCAGCACTGGCACTGGCCACAGCGCCAGTTGTCACGACCTTAATCCTGCCTGATGAATGACCTCATCATTGTCTGCAGCGGCTGCCATGGCTTGTTACTGCAACAGAGTGACCTCACCTACACAGCACACATACAGTACACACAGTAAGCAGATACACTGATGCAGTGTCCAAAAACACTGCAAAACCTTAATGGATCTGTTTAACCCAAATTCCAAAAAAGTCATTTTCTGGTAGTGGTATGTGGCTATGCAGATAGTTTCGTTTCATCTGTTCAAATTTCTGCCTCCATCCAAATAACATGGTGAATAGAACTGAGGCTTAAAGCATTGAAAGACTGTGTGTCCTTCCAGAAATAATGTCCTGGTTACTCTAGATAATCTGCAGACGTCTCTGTGGGCAGTTTTAAGTGGAACTTGATACAAAAAAAATACACAGGCCCCCCAAAGAAAACTGCCCACAGTGGATTCTGCGGTTTGTCCAGTGTAGCCTGGGCATTATTTCTAGAGTAACACATTGCTGTTACATTTTGCAGAAGTAATTTTTTTTACTGCTTTGATCAACAAACTTCCATTTACCTCTATTGTGTTAGGGCATCAGGTATAAATTTAGAACTGGATATTGAAAAACCAGCTCAGTATTTCTAGAAACTATGTCCATATTAGAGGATCCTGCACATCACAGAACCAATGTTTAATGTCTATGTAAGACATAGTTTGCCCTATACAGTATGAAGAAATGGAGTGCGTAAGAGGACTGAATGATTTTCCCAGAAATAACAGGGAGTTCACCTCAGAGATCTGCAATAAATATATAATTTTATTAAGCGTAATCACAGTCAATTCCTAACCATAACCAGATTTTTGTTACCTAACTCTACCTCAGCTATCATTTAGTTGCCACAACCATGGTCTTTTCCAATAACCTAGCCATAGTAAATGCTGTGTGGTAGGAAGGATTTTGATAATGTTGGTAATGGGGTTTTGCAGAATCATCCACTATTGACATTCACCTGGCAAAAGGTTTGCAGAACATTGAGACCAAACCTATAAAGCAACAGAAAGTGAGAACATTATTTGTTATTTCACTGTACTGACAACTTAAGCTGCCTTAACAATTCAAAATGTGTCATTTAAACCTGAGGCTAATTTACATAACATTTAAGTGCTCCACATTGCACTCACATCAGACACCATCATTCTGTTCTATACATGCAACCAAATTACCTTGAAGATCGATATAACAGGCTCAGACACAGATGTACATACTGTTCACGAACATATATCCACGCACAGACAAACTTGTGTTTGATGAAAATAAAGAGACACTTGCTCTGTTGGCACCTCCTCCAATCACACATGTCGCCTCCACTCCTTCATCCCAGCTGTCACAACTGCAAAAACTCTACAAATACACGCACACACTCTCATATATTCACACTCACCCACACACACCACTTTTCCTGCTCACACCTTTTCCCGCTCACCATGGCTCTCTCCAGTTGGTGCTTGTGTGCCCACTCTCTGCCACAGCTTGTACAGTATGTAATGTGTGTGTGTGTGTGTGTGTGTGTGTGTGTGTGTTTATGTGTGTGGTATTGTCTTTTATTGCCGTGGTTCCAGATGAGCTCAGACATGGAGTACCCACCTCTGGTCCTGCAGCATGAGAAGGAAAGTGGACAGGGAGTCATGTTTTATTCTGGCCTCTTCTAAACTGTGAAAAATTACAGCCACCTAAAACTCAATCTGTTCTGTGTCTAGAGAGCAGGAAGAGGATTGAAATGGCAGTAGGCAATTTAGGCACACCTTGTAGAAAATCGCTGCTTTTTCTCTGCTCCATGCCCCTTTCCTCTTTGCTCCACGGTATTGTTTGACTGGTGAATCTCACGATCAGTGTGCGAAATCACTCCTGCACTTACTTTGGTGTCAGTGCACTTGACGGAAAATGCTTTGTGTTCGACAGCAACACCATGTGTGAGGTCATAAATCTGATCACCACAGCAGCAGAAGACAGCGACACTGATGCTTGCAGGAAGCAACCAGGATTTATGGATAACACACCCATCCTTTGTGAGTGCACCCAGTACTCTGTTTCCTGGGATGACAGACTGGCATCTTTGCAAATGAAAACTACAAGTGTCTTGCACCTTAAATCAACCCCTAAAAGCACCAAACTGAATCAAATTAAATGTAACTTAAGGGGCCTATATTCAAATAAATGAGGACACTTTTTGTTAAAAAAAAAGAGCAGATATTAGGGAAAGTTGGACCTTTCTAGAGTTTTCCATCTTGGTACCCTGACTCAGACTCTTATATCTGGATTTTTAAAAAGGTCCGTGGAAGGTTGTGCAAGTATTATTTTCAACACTTCAGATTAAACGCTGCTACATCTCTCTGAGGTCTTACTAATGTGAACCCTCTGCTGGGTTACAGCTGAAAGGTAATATTAACAGTGTCACATTTTTTACAATGTAGAGGAAGGAGAAATGTTGTGTGATGACAGATTTGAAGTCAGGGCTTGGTTTCATTGGTTTAACACATTAAAATATGGCAGGACTGAGTGAAATACTCATGCCAAGGCAATTTCAAGCCCCCAGAACACATTGTGTTTGCAAAAGCTAATTTCTCTCCATTTTCTCTTCTACTTGTGTTAGCTGCATTACACTGAGCTATCACATGTTTACATACACAACGCAGTGACAACATTAAAGGTTTTAGTGTGATCGCTAGTCTATTTGTCTCTGTGGGCACATTCATTAGCAAAGAAAAGTAAAAAGTATTTAAATGAAATAAAACTAGACCATTTATGAAAATGGTCTAGTTGTTTTTGTGTTTTACAACAAAAGAAAAGAAAAACTAGTTCTGCTTCACAGGGTTTGTCATTTTCAGTATCTTCTCTCATACTTGCTTTGTAAAATTTGAGATATTTTTACCTCTTAAGGCCTTTAACATGATAGACCTCCTCACAGCCAGGTGTCAGGTGTTTTGACTGATACAGGATATACAGTAGTTTATGACAATAATACTGTGTGTTGTTATTTTGTAGTTTTAACCATTTGAATTCATTTGATTGCTGCAGTACTGCTGATAATATTTTATTCCCTGTTTCATACTCTATGCGAATACATGTTTTTTTGTAGATGCTGTGTAATATTTTTTCCACTTACTTTTTACTTTACACAATCCAAATCCTCAGTTGGTGGTTCAAGTGTTTCTGTCTGTTCTGATATTTTTAGCATAATGCTGTGTTAACATACAAAAGAACTGATATGTGGGATATTTTTGTTTTTATTACGAGATAGCTGTTGCAGAGTTAAAAATGTTATTTTTTATTTTTTATTGACTTAAAGTTAGGAAAGCATCAAAGTGAATAACTGCACAACCAAGGTTTATCACCACCAGTGATATTGTAAAGATGTACACTCTAGGATTTTTTACACACTAAACAATGTCCTAAAGAGTATAACTAAATAAAACTCATATGTATCAGACTTGAAACAAGCAGCGTCCATGCCACACTTTTGCCTCTCTCTTCCAGACACACATACACACTCTTTGTTTCTCTCATTTAAGATGCCTCAGGGAGAGAATAAGTGCCAGGCAGCGCCAGTCAACTGATGGCTTCTCTCGCCAGTGCCTGATGAGCAGGGGTGCTGGCTGGCAGGCTGCCCCCTGCCCCCTCCTCACAGCACTAGGGTCACAGGCAGCTGAAAGACAGAGAGGCCAACAGATCAACAGTTGCTCTGACTGTGATTGAGCGGCTGGCCAGGCTGCTGCACGCCACACAGCCTGCGTTCAGGGCACTGACCCTGGGTAAGCTGACAAGTGCCTGGTCTTCACATGCACCCGCAGAATCTATGTGGTCGTTAGGGTATTGTGATCTTAGTGCGCTGGACACACATGTACACTATGCATGCTCTTATAGCCGCCCTCGCTCTGCCTTATGTTGCTGGTCACAGTGTTTTGTCAAGCACCCGATCGAGTACTCACTCCCTCATTGTTTGACTTCTGGCACAACCCAAAAGGTGCTTGCACCCAGGAAAGCGTGGCAGACTTTGCTCTTAATTAACATGTTGAAAATGTTGTGATTTCACAGCTGAATCACACCGTTGCTGTACAGTGCATTACACTGGAAAGAAAGCTCACCTTGTTAGTATTTTAGCAAAAAAAAAATACTTTCTCAACTGCCTCCACAGTTTTCAGTCAGATATTTCTGTGTACTAGTGCTGCCATATAGTGTATATTAACACATAATATACTGTATGGAACACAACTACACATTATAGCCTTGTTGGACATATTAAACTCATCTTGACAAGGCTGTTAATATCTCTGAAACCAGGGGCAGATTCCAACAACCTTCTCAGTCCGTGTCCCTTATTCCCTCCAAAATGCCCAGCTGTTGTCATAGTAGACAGCTGCTTTAGGGGCAGAACAAATCTCAGCTGTCGAGGAGAGCGGGGTTGGGGGGTTGGTGAATTTGG